ATTGCATTTAATATTTGGAACTGTGTTAACTACCATTACTGGATTAGGCTTGTGTAATCGTTTAAAAACCACCCGATCACATGTCCGGGCCGCGGACCACGGTCAATTCAATTTGTGCTAATGACACGGCATTCATTATCTAAAGTGACGTCATTCATTAAATTAATTCATGGCATTATGACGCCAAAGCTAGATTATCACAACCGTGGGTTGGCTTTTGGGTAGTATTTTGTTGCGTTATATTTTTAGTTAAAACTATGTATTTTTTGAACGAATATTGTTTCGATTTTGATTTCGAGGTAATTATTTTGTAATTTTTACGTATCACTGTTGTGTTTTATTACTTTTCGTATACATTGTATTTTGTAGGTAAAAACCCCATTTACCATCTAATTATTACCTAATTATCTTTAAAAACTTAAAATCCTAATCGTTGTAGCAACAATTTTCACAAGATATTCTATGATAAATAATTTAAAAAAATGATTTAACAAATGTAATATACGTAACAAACTCAATAGATACTATACGTGAAATGGATAAGAAAAATATATATGAATACAATAAACAAAATAAAAAAAATAAAAAATTAACCAAACACTCTAAACATCCACCAATCACCGACAGGACACATGTCATAATTTACTGATTCAATACGAAAAAATTAAATCTTCAAAACAAACTCCACTTTTATTTCGATGTCCGATCAGACTGTCACAATTTTAATTAAAACGTATCCGTAAACGATACGACACAAAAGAACTGTCACGTGCGGCGATACAATATCGGAGACAAATTCTTTGCGATTCCTGGCGATCAGCGCGTCATTCAAACGTGTCAATTAAAAAGCAAACCTGTATTAAAGGCTTGATAGCGCCGTTCGTATTGTTGTGGATTAAGTCGAACAATCGTCTGTCAGGACTGTTGACGATTTGATAACTCACACCAATACAACAATACATCAATAAAACAATACACAAGCACAACAATACAGCGTTTATCTCACACTGTGTTTTAACTTTGGAGTTCTTTAGTTTTTTTTTCGTACTCAACCTACGGTATGTGAATACGTAAATATAACAATACAAATTGTGTCTGCTCCTGGCGTAAAGTTTCTCAAACGATTATTTTGTACTTCACACATTTCAACGATGGATACAAATAGATTTATTACAGAACGAGCTGTTGGCCCGTCCTACGTACGGGATTGGGAAGTCAACTAAAACTGAAGTTATATCAATATTTCCATTTCTAATCCAACCAAAGTTCAAGTGGTTAAACATTTCCTGTTAACAAAAAGCTGCGAAGATGAATTAAAAAATGTACACATTGTGATTTTCCTGTTCTTTCCTCAAAAAGTCGAACAGTAAAATAATTTGCATAAGCTTTTCTTTGAAGACTCGGGGGCAGAGCCTCGATTTGTATACAGTGGTTATAGAATCTTACTTATTTTCTATAATCAATGGCAACATCACAGAATAATAAACTAACCTGATAGTTCTTAAGAATATTTTTGTATTCTGTTAGTTAAAACAAATTATATTGCACTAAAACAAACGATTTTAAAGATTGCTCTAAAAATAAATTAGACCATCTAGCATTTACCATGTATATTTAATTAGTCTGTCATCCTCTTACCCAATAAATAACCGTATCAATGAATATAGCATTACACATAGTATAAATAAGTCAACCCTATGCATGTAATTATTATCCAAATGCTGAATTTGTGTCACACAATGTTTACAGCTGTTACGTTAATCAAATGGTGTTATACCAAAAACTAGTGTAGAATGTTAGCGTCGGTTGCTTATAAAAATTTAAACTTATTCTCTAAAAAACTGAAACTCTAAACTAAAACTATGGCTTCGACATTCCCTAGTTCTCAAAATTATCTTTCTTTCAACACAAAAATCATGAAAATCCGTCGAGTGGTTGATTCAGAATCGTGAAAAAAAACCTGTCACGTTTTAATATTATAGATAGATAGATTAAGAATGTTTTGACGTGGAAAAAAACAACATATAGCTCAACAACTTGTATGTGGATATTTATACTGGCAGTGATTCCCATCAAAAAATGTAAATGTTATAAGAAATCCTGTCTCGAGCTAGATTTTAAAAGCTTTACAGGAATAGAGGCTTAAGTCATTATTCTTTTACTAAGTGTGCAAATAACAGTTCAAACAAGTGTGGTTTCAAAACACAATTATCAATGCTGACAAAAAGTATTATACATTTTTTAATGTAGTACATCTGATCAGGTAAAATGGTGTCCCGTAATTTTCATTTTAGGTCCAGTTAATAACCAATGAATAGTTTATATATTAAAATAATAACTTGCTTGGTGGTTAAAAAAATACCTTCGTCTGTAAGCTCACCTGTCTCGAAACCAAATTAAGAGAAAATTCTGTGTATTAAGTACTCCCGCCATTTTAAAACCATCTATGCGGTAAAGGAAAATTAAAAAGTATCTAAAAAAAAAGTGCTTAATATAATTTAACAGTTTAAATAATACGTCTTCAAACCTGTACAATTCTAACATCATATCTTACTTCTATGTTCCTAAATCCTGTTTACTCAATCACGAAAGAACACAAACTGATTACCCAATCACCATCAGCGTTTTACCACCCGAGTCCCAATGTACTACTGAACGGCCCAAGCGATCAAAACATTAGCACGGCAGTTCCACTCACTTTTACCACTCTTTATCAAGGGCTCTTTATGTCGTCCGAGAAAGAAAAGTAATAAAGAGCGATATTATTGCGCGGACGGCGAGAACTTTGAAACAATGTGATTTAGTGCCAAGGGTCTTAATTCCGGGCTTTAGTGTTCAGGATAAACTGTTGATTTTGTTGGCCGTTTTATGGCTTCGTTTACTGCTGCAACTTTCACAATATCGGCATTGCTTTATTGATAGACCACTGCGTGCGGATACTGCTGCGATTGTTTACATCTTGTGCAAACGTGTTTGGTGGTTTTAGGATTGCAACTTTGGAGTTAACGACCCAATAATAATTAATAGTGATTGATTCAAAACATTGATTCTGTTTCTTTGAAACTTCTGCAATCACTGTTCAGTCTTTGAAAAATGTTTGAGGTATATCTCTCCCTACAGAATTAAGAGAATATAACCAATACTAAGATTGAACAAAAAATATCAAAACTACATACAAGAAAATCTCAGTTGAGTAAAAGGATTTACACCCATTAAAATTAAAGTGTACAAAAATATACGTTTTAAATACTTAAAACTCATAACGTGGGTTTGATCACTCGTTAACTTATAGGCCTTGATTACAAGTTAATTAAATTAACAAAATGGTTGGTCATTAAAATGACATTCATTTACAAGAAGAAATGTTTGACATTTTAATAGCATGGTAGGGTATTAGGTTAAGTGAAACCCAGATTTTTGGAGTAAACTCTTTCTTACGGAGGGTTTCGTCTTATTCTGATTGGGCACATACGTGTGTGTGTGTTTCAATGTATAGTTATCAAAATCATATAAAAAAATCTGTGATTTTTAAATTAACTATATCTCCTCTGGACATACTATAACAATGAATGATAACTGTTTTTATGACTTGAGGTGTCCTTTAAACAAAAATATACAGTGGTCTTCGTCCTAGGTTTTAAAAGAAACAAGGTAACTTATTATAGAAACTACTACTTCTCTATTGGGAAATCCACTAAAGGGGGAAATGAAAAATCTAGTTACCAATCAAAAATACTCGATTAATTATTGCCAAACGGCCGTTAGTTTTAATTAAATTGTAGCCCGTACCACCGTCCACTTTAATATTTTATTGTTTTATTAAAGAACGGCAATAATATCGGTCGGTTTTAATTAAAAATAATAGATAGGGCTGGCGGATTAATATTTGAGCGTTCGACGGGCTAGGTAACAATAGCACACTAATCATAGCTCTTCTCATTGTTGCATTAATTAAACGCATGTTTTGCGAATCCCAGCTGACCGGGAGCCGTGTTCTGTTGTTTCAATAAAGAATACCAGCTGTATAATAACATGGGCCAATTAAAACGGCAACTCCCGCTCCGCTACGGTGCCTGCTGCCTGCTGCTGCACTATCAGCTGTCTAGGCAAGACTGGGGTGAAATAGAAAACAATGACACAGACTTTGTACATATTTGGGTAGGAAATAATGTTAATAAATTGATTCCAGTTATGTGACAATAATTTGTAGCTACATTAAATATGGATGCGTCAAGTCAGTTAATACTAAACGAATTTCAAAAGTAGTTCTTTGTTAACAGAACTACTCAAAAACATTATAAATTGTTTCCAAATTGAAGCTATATGTAAGTCTTAATATACAACGATGATATGAATTAGATATTTTATATTTTTTTGTGATGTTTATGTTTTTCATAGAGTTAATTATGTTGTTTCCATCCATCATTTCATATTTTTGTGTATTTTCCCGATGGATTTCCTAAGGTTCGGAAATGCAATGAAATAGCAGATGAATATTTTTAAGGACGACGAGAATATATTTATTTCGAATATGCACACGTAAAATAACTGAATAGGTACTAAAAACTTACACAACCGATAAATACATATAAAATGTCATTGCAAATATGAGTTGAAAGCTATCCACATCAACTATGATGACTAAATTTACAATCACTGAAACTATTCCTAATCTCCAAGAGATTCCTTATATTTTGCAACTTGCCTTAAACCTCATCACGCATTGCGGAGTTCAGTCATAATTGATTATCAATATCACTCATAATAATGAATAATCAATCATAATTAAAATCGTCCATTGGTAATCCTGAATATAACAGTTATAATCAATTATTCAGAACAACTGTCTATTGGATTAATCAATACATGCTTTACTACATCAGTCAGTAGACTCATTGATCTCATCCAGCTGTCTACAACCAATTTTTAAACCATACACCCATTGAACATTTTCTGTTTCATACACACAACTGAAAAGTGAGTAGTAACAATTGACTAACCTGTGATTGCATTGTTGACATGCAAAACACTCAAGGTGATACACGTTGTTGCGCGCCCGCATCACCATCTCGAAGGCCGGGATCACTTTTGAACATGCAGCACAGTAGCCGGTGCTGCCGAACAACCTGACAGAACAAACGTTTGATCAATTAATTGTGTATATGCCACGAGAAATCGTATGGCAAAAAGCTGAAACCCAGTTAAAATATTACAGGATAATAAACTTTGTGGAAGAAGAACTTCAGCTGCAAATACGATACTATTGTGTGTTCACTGCAGACTTGCAACGGCAAGCTAGGCAAGTTTATACTGCCAAACTAGCTTATAAATACATCACAAAATACTAGAAGAAAGACTTCAGAAATTTGCTAGAAGTCATAATTCAAATCGAACAACCATTTAGGACCAATTTAAATATGTTTTTATTTTCTACAAAAAGGATTTTCGTTTAGTTCTGAGTGTTTGTTGTTGAGAATAAATGACAAATTGTAGTTTGCAATTTATCCATTGTTGTTTACAATTTCCTACTTTTTAAATCTACAATTGTAAGCTAGAACTATAGCAGTGGTTCGAAGACTTTTTATATGTTATTTTTTCAGTACAAGTGAACAAACGGGTTGCCTGACTCAATGGACGTCCATCACTAGGGACTAAAGTGACTACTTATTTTCGACACTAACTGATATTTGATATTTATAATAATTTTAAATGAGTGAGGGTCGAAAAGACACATCTGGCCCGTAAAAAGAACAAAATGTCTCGCCATACCGAGCCGTTTGGTATGCTAATTAAATCTAAAAACTATAATTTTGTACATTTTTCCCCTTTATAAGGTAGTTCCTAGAATGATATCCGTATGAAGGACAGATGTTACCGTAATTTAGAAGACACACGTGTTACTCCACCTAGACTAAATTTAAACTTGTCATATTGGCTATGTCTAATTTTTAATGGACGGCAAAATTAAACGTCACTGTATTAAAAATACAATGTGTTAATATATCCAAAAACATGTTGATAACGATGCAATAATATTTTAATCAATTGGGACTATTTTCTTTCATAAAATAGCGGACGAATAAAACATGTACTTCTGATTTCCTCGATTACAACTATTATTTTTCTCACTAAGAAAAATTCTAAAACTCACAAAATCTAAATACCGAACAAACCTTATAACAACATCTCATCGCTAATACCTTGGCCAAACTTCTGCACGAGCAGGATTGCCAACTGTTGTCTCTAAGGCTCCCAATGTTTAGAGAGGGAACCGCCATCTTTATATCAATATCGTAAGTTTGCCAGAGCAAACATCGCAGCGTCCCAGATAAATATCGAGCCAATAGCTCTTAATTACGACGAGCCAATTCACTAAAGTAGCGACGACCAATTACCGATATCGAACGAGAATTAAAACCAAGTTAGTGTTTGCGATCGTGCTCTGCCAACATCACGTGGGTCAATCAGCTGATGGTGGCGTGCCACTGCCTCGGGAATAGTTGCAGATTAATTATTGAGTTTTATTTTATATACGAAACTTATGTATAGCATAGTGTTTAGCCTATGATGTTTTGAGAATGAGGGGGGAATTGCACTTTTCAAGACTTTACCTACGCGTATCATAAAAAGCAGCACACTTAATATTTTGGTACTTAATTATGTTTTTACGTTTGAAGTCCATTAAATGTATAACGTGTACAGGAAGTAAAGCAAATAAAATTTATATTAAGTTTCAAAACTTTACAAATTGCTTAAACAACATAAAACCAAAATTAAAAGGGCTGCAAAAGACTGAGTGTTTTTATACTTTGCATCCCAAATTCAAAGGGTGCAAAAGTCCCCGATTCCAAGGCCTTTCTTGAAGACTAAAGACTAAGCTTAAGCATTAATCGAATTTATTTCGTATATGAACACAATTTAACATTGTACAAAAACAATTGCCAAAATACCAATCCATTCTACTTTGCTACTTAGAAATTCGCAAAAAATACATAGGTATACCAACATTAATTGAGCTTCTAAAACCAAACAGGATGAAAGTTTACCTCAAGTAGTCCCTCTTGCACAGGATCAGGTTCGCTTTTGTGTACAGAGTTGAGCCGACCTCTCCCAACCTACAGTCGCAGCAGCCACACTTGAGACAGTCCTCGTGCCAGTACAGGTCTAGCGCCTTCAGTAGGAACCTGCGGACAGTAGGGAACCATTAGGTATCTTTTGTGTACAGAGTTGATCCGACCTCTCCCAACCTACAGTCGCAACAGCCACACTTGAGACAGTCCTCGTGCCAGTACAGGTCTAGAGCCTTCAGTAGGAACCTGCGGACAGTAGGGAACCATTAGGTATCTTTTGTGTACAGAGTTGATCCGACCTCTCCCAACCTACAGTCGCAACAGCCACACTTGAGACAGTCCTCGTGCCAGTACAGGTCTAGAGCCTTCAGTAGGAACCTGCGGACAGTAGGGAACCATTAGGTATCTTTTGTGTACAGAGTTGATCCGACCTCTCCCAACCTACAGTCGCAACAGCCACACTTGAGACAGTCCTCGTGCCAGTACAGGTCTAGAGCCTTCAGTAGGAACCTGCGGACAGTAGGGAACCATTAGGTATCTTTTGTGTACAGAGTTGATCCGACCTCTCCCAACCTACAGTCGCAACAGCCACACTTGAGACAGTCCTCGTGCCAGTACAGGTCTAGAGCCTTCAGTAGGAACCTGCGGACAGTAGGGAACCATTAGGTATCTTTTGTGTACAGAGTTGATCCGACCTCTCCCAACCTACAGTCGCAACAGCCACACTTGAGACAGTCCTCGTGCCAGTACAGGTCTAGAGCCTTCAGTAGGAACCTGCGGACAGTAGGGAACCATTAGGTATCTTTTGTGTACAGAGTTGATCCGACCTCTCCCAACCTACAGTCGCAACAGCCACACTTGAGACAGTCCTCGTGCCAGTACAGGTCTAGCGCCTTCAGTAGGAACCTGCAGACAGGGAACCATTAGGTATCTTTGGTTGTGCGTGGAAATATTATAGTCTGTGTGATGGAACCTGTCTCCTAAGCCTCCGCTAGATGGAGCTGGCCCAGGCATGAAACCATTGACTAGAATGACCCATTGGACAACCATTGACGACTAAGTTATTTATTATTATCTACCTTAGGAGGTAGACGGAGGGTCAGGGTACATCTTACATAATACACAGTATAGGCATTCCTTACCAATTCTAAAGATGCGACCAGTTTTGCTTTTCGTAAACTCTATCATATTTGATCTCACATAAACCATCACCATAACAAAATAAGGAGGAAAGTATAAATTTAGTCTTGGCATACTCTGTTAGTGATTTGTTGAAATAATAAGCTCAAACGAGTAATAAGTTGAATAATAAGTGATTTTTGTAAATAATAAGTAACTGAGTAGCTGGTCCATATATATGGAATGTCTCACGCAATATCGAAAAGTATATAATTTTGCTCGATCGATAAAAAACCCCAATTAGGACGAAGTAATAAACTGTTATCGTAGGGATTAACCAAAAGGTTGATAGTGCATATAAAATGTAAAAAAGTCAAATTTTTTAAGGTTTCAAATTGTTTTTTTTTATGTAAATAATAACGGAAGCTAGAAAAAATATCTAAGGATTTTTGTATCATTGTTCTTTGTGCGTCAAAAACAACAAGCCTCCAATCATTTCAAAATTATAGGAAACTTGTCTGCTTTGTAATCAGTGAACTAAGAAAATTGAAATAAAAAAGAGCGCATGTACAATAGAAACTCATTCGCGATTTCACATAGAATTTATGTACACAATGGCGATTTAATTTCCACACGTAAACTCAAAACCGTTTAGTAAAACGGGAACGATTCTGTGCAAAAGTAAAATCAAAGGTATAAAACAGCTTTACATCATCCGAATATACGATAGCGACGGCGATGTGTGTACAATGTGCAATGTACACCGACATATCAAGCGCGCCAGAAGCGATAAAAGCGGTAAATAACGCGGCAAACATCGGCACGTGACCTGGCCAGCGCCGCGACGCTCAGCCTTCTGTATCACGACTCTGTAGTCTGTACTGGGCTGGGCTAGGTGGCTGTGGTCATCTCCAATCAATTTTAACACAATGAATAAATTGAAAATAACATCGGATAACTGCGACGAATACAAAAGTTGTACAGCGTGTACATGTTACTATAGAGAAACAATTGGTTTGTATTTAATTCTTAATAGGATAGGTAGGATTGTAAGGATACTGTCAAAAAACTGAATGCAATGTGCAGTTGTACAACTCAAGCCTACTCAAGTGTTGAAATAAGGTACGGTAAATATTTTTAATGTGAGGAGCAATAAAGAAGTGAATTTATCAAAAGATGACGAACTATTGTAGGAAAAATAGATACGTTTTTCAGTTCAACAATTTAAAGTCTGTGTAATTGGATTTTTAAGGTGGGTTGGAAAAAAGACACAGTTTAAACATGTCCACCTGTTAGCCCGAATGTACAGTCATACTTATTCAGCTGAAGGTAGTTACTTGTAATGATTTCCGTTGTCCCGTGCGGTTTCCCGGTTTAGAATAGGACCGCAGCCTTCCCCAGGCGACTAACAGGGTTTGGGAGATCCTTCTTGCTCCCAACTTTCTCAGAGGCCAAGTATTCTTCTTATCTTTGACTTGGTCCTCTCCCACTGCACCAATTGTAGGTGTTCGGAAGGATGGAAACCGTCCCACTCTTCAGTCTTGAGAAGTTGGAGACGGCCATTGCCTTCTTGTAAGCAACAAGGCTCCAATACCTGATGGGAAACCCGGCGAGGCCCTCAAGAAGGCCTATATCAATCCCCTGATTCTTTTGATCACATTCAATGTCTACTTGGCTGAGGGGATGTTTTCTTCGGGCTTAAAAATATCTGGGCTTGTGCTCGTATTGAAGGAGAAGGGAGAAACAGACTTTTTGTCTTTTTACGGACCTCTCTGTACGTTGGATTTGGCTGGAAAATCACGTTGAGAAGTTTATATGTTCTCGACTGAATTCAGCCGTGGTTGCTGCGAGAGATTTGTACTCTCTTCATTATGGTTCCAAAAATTTGGTAACTGCCCTTGTAGTTTAATGGCCAATGTTGGATATCCTCGGTCCAGCTATATTTATATTGTTATACGGTAATATATTTATATTTATATTGTTATACTAGCGGAATACCCGTGCTTCACTACGGAAACTTTCATATTGGTTGACATTTTAAATAATAGTGTTTAAGTTCCAACAGCCTTCAGTCAACGATTCAGCTACAACCTATTTGCTCAACAGCGTCAGACAGCACTAAGGGTAGCATCCGCTTACCCCTACCGAACAGTGTCCCAAACCCACCGTCCTGGTAGTCTCTGCAGCCATTCCCTCAAACCCAATACAAGAAGAACCACCATGTTGGCAATGGCAAAGAACGCAATTATTTAGGGAGTTTAATACTGTTAAAACTGTTTGCGTGTTTTGTAGAACGGTGAAAAAACTCACATTTTGAACGCGAAAAACATACTTCAAATTATACAATTTGAATAATAAGTCTACAGGCAGTATCCAAAGTCAATGGTTTTACGTAGTGGTGTACCTTTCAGTGATGTGTTTGCCGCACCCAGCACACTCCTGAGTACCCGTGGACGTTGTACCGTTGGCTGTCACAGTCTTCGGGGCCTGAGACTTGACGTCCAGGGACATCCTCCCTGCAACAGACAAACACACAACTCAGCAACACAATACAGACAAAGTATCAAAAGACAACCATCAGAACGACCCACATGCACACTTATGTGGTGACCGATTGGCTCACTTAAATTAATTCATTTATTAAATCAATCCTTTGAATACGCTTTCAAAATATAAACAGATTAACATTTGAACTATTTCTGTTGACAGTTTATGCTGGAATAAATATTATGCAGTCGAAATAGTTTTACAGCCACTACTATAACAACCAAGAAGGTTAAATGGAACTATGTTTGTAAACCCTTTTTAAATGTTATTCCATCATATTGTTGCCCCCTTTAATCTAATAACTAATGCCCATAAAGTAGACCACGTTAAAGTTGTAGGATTTTTTCAGACTTAAATAATATATTAAACACGAGTAATGCAAGACATTTAAACCAGCAATTCAACATCGATTTCCCAAGCAATAATAGGTGCGCTTTTATTTATTTTTTTTAGAAACGTAACGTATTTATGTGTCAACAAGACTTGAATCGTACAAGATCCCTCTTCCCTCTCTAGATTCGCTTTTAGGAATAAGTCCGACTCAAAGATTAAAACTGCATTGGCACAATATTATTATCATCATTCCTCAGGCCTACCGAAAGTATTTTTTTCGATAACAGCTGATATCAAAGAAAGTAGTTGTTTCCCAAGCTTTAATTTAGAGCGAGGGGAAAACGATCAGCTAAATTTCCCTCACTCTCGATTAGTTCTCCATCTATCCACTACGCGTGCAATTGATATGTTACGGTTTATTTTAATGATTTAAATCAGATGTTTTCATTGTTAAACAACCTTAATGTATACAGAAACAAGCATTAGTTTGTTTTGTTGTGTTTTAGCATAGTGCGTGTTTGAAATTGCTCAAAGTATGTCTAAAATTCATGACAATTTGATGAAAACAGCTTCAGATGTAACTGATCACATTTCGCCAGAGAAATCATTAGAAAGATAAGAAGAGAAATATAGAAACCTTAGAAATTGGTAGACTACAAACTACCAAATGTTATGTCAATAATTAAAGTGACGAAGTATTTATTAATATATTTATCCAAAAATCTATAATCATGAAACCATATATGTACGTTGTGAAGTATATTTGAAATGGTAAAGAGTGGTCTAAAACTATTTTAATACTACCTCGATACGTTTTCTGTATGTGTGTATTTTTGAGTAGTGATGAACCGTTCATAACTCGTACAGAAAGTTATTTTCAAACACTCATACTTGGTTTTCCTGTGTTCGGAAAACTGTACGCGCACCGGAAAATGCCACATTCTGTTCTAGTAATGAAATATCCCATTTCTAATTCTGCAGTACCACAAGATATATAAATAATAACCTTGTGTTCTTTGAAGAAACAACGAATTCAAAAGTAAGAAAGAACATATCAAGCGTCCTTGTGAATGCATTACTGCAAAATTAATTCAATGTCCAATTTATTCACCTATATTATACATGGTTTGATTCAATAGAACTCATTTACTATTGTAATCTTCGCGACGACCGAAAAAAAATATCACCAAGTGGTTGATGGCACGATTATTTTTAAAGTCTATAATCTAAATGAATCGAACAGTTTCAAAACCATTACTTAAACAAGCTTCACCTGCGATGTTTACAGGGCGGGTCACAAGTCAGCCCGTTGGTAATCCAATAGTCCGTTATCAAGCCCCAATTAGACCAAGTTAGGCCCGTCTCTCTCGGCTATTTACACGCAATTACCCGCGGTATTTAGCACGTTCCCGCCAAGATTACCGCTTATTATCTCTCGGCCACGTTTAGTAGTAATCACACGAATGTGCACAACTTGGATGTCTAACGCCCTCGGATTACGTTAGGGTTGAGTTTAAAGATTAACATAATAGTTATGTTGTCCGTTAAGTTTAGTATAGATAGACTTCATCTTTTAGAGGTAAAAATAAAACGTTAACGGTTTATTGGATAATACGTCGATTGAAGGATGTATTACAGGTTTGTTGTAGCTTAAGCCTTTTTCAATTGACAAGTTTTTGAAAGCAGGTAACTTAAGTAATGTTTGGACAATTAAGATACTTAACGAAAACTATACTATTTACGTCACAACCTAATACGTCACAACCTAGTCAGGAAAAAGAACTTCCTACCTAGTCACTAGTTTTTACCTAGTCAGTAAAAACTTGTAAAAAGTAGATAGTTACTCGTATTTTATTTAGGTCCATGAATGTATGTGATACTTTGGGAATTTGCTTCACCATATTTCCATGCAATCATATAGAAAATGTTGCGGGAACGTAACGCCAAAATTAAATTCATGCCACCAACACGATTTGGATTTGTATGGGGAGCAAGTAGAAATACACCCCTATAATTTTAATTTAATCTACATAGCGTTTTAACGAAAATTCGTCGTTAATAGATAACAGACCTTTGCAAAAAATGTATAAACTCGAGTGATGAAATATTGTAATACCATGATATCATGAGATCGTACTAAACATACCTCAACATTTTAAGAACGTTCACTACACATCGCCCACGCGAATCACGGTCAACAAGACTGGCAAGGTAATGTAACCGAACACGTAAATTACACACAAAGGCTAAACAACCGCCGTCATCGCCAACTTGATGCCTTTCCAAGTCGCAAGTCTTAATTAATTAAAGGGCCGGACTGCGCACAACCGCAACAAACAAACATTAATCAAACACCTGAACAATGCGGGGAATCTCGGCTCGATCTTAACATATTTAACTAATTACCGGGAAATAACCGGGGTAAATTAATGCTTTGACGAGTGGAGAATGCGGGAATACTTGGGACAAAGTGGGAATGTTACAAAGAGGCGGTGTACAAGGCGGTTCACTCGTTCCATCCATGTCTTGTCTCGCCTGCGGGCTGCGGCTCGGGCTCGTTGTATTGACACTTGTATTTATATCTTCTGATGTGGTCAGCGGTCGCCTTTGTGAAGACTTTTGACCCCACCTTCGCCCTGAGGTTTTGCTTCTCTTGCAATGGGGTTCGGTTATTTGATTTGTGTAAACATGTTTTATTTAGGTTTAAGATTTATAATTATGAGCTTAAGAACGGTTATGACTCAATAACATTACTTGTCCAATATGCTATCATTGAGCTACTGTACTAGATCAATACGCAATATTTAATATAAAATACCCCCACCGCAGAAAACCTGCCGACTAAGCGAATTTCCATTTATCCGAATTGATTTTCAAGCAAATCTATTCAATAAACATTAGTTTTAACGAGTGCCTAGGTTTGTTTCTACCAGGAAACTAATAAAGTGTTTTAATAGCTTAGTATAAAATAAATAGATTTGCCAAGTTTGACCAAAATATATCCATAAACAAGCAAACTACATTATTTTACAATATTCTCCCCCGTAAAACCCCGTGGGGATATATAATTTCTTTATGAGTTCATTGGGAAATAATGGTAAATTAATTGATTTTACTTTCAAGAGTTTGGTTATTATCTTAAGGATACAGAATGGAATAAGGTAAATTGCTCGGGTTTTAAACTCACACTGTAGCGGACCTGTTGGATTGTTGTATGAAGGAAACGAAGAGTGGTCGTAATTTATATCCAACAACAGGACGCTTATGTTCAGTTGCATAATGTATTGGACATGTGAGAGGTGCCCATTTCTCGATGTAGTGTATTTTCGATATCTGTTCCTGTTAATTGAATCCACAAATATCATTAGGGTAGTCATGCATTGCATTTTACCATCATCCTGGAAAAACCTTGTGACGTGTTGTCTTTTAGATAATCCCTAACAGTTGTGTGATGCCATTTGAGTACTTCAATACGATAAATATTTTATTTTGTTTTAAATTACAAAGGATTTATGTGACTAGATAGCGTTTACAATAACAGCTTGCTTTACGTCTGTGATTCGTGGTTCGGAATCTTTTTGCTGGAAACCCTATCCCAAAATATTAATAGAAGGGCCGTACTGAATAACATACTATCGAAATCGCTATAGGAAAGCTTTAACCCGCAAATAAAATTTTAAAAGCTGGGTTTTCAACGTTGATTCAAAGTATATCGAGTTGAACGATTTTAGTATTTGAATCGAATATACTGCCTAAAAATGAAAATTTTCACGTCACATAGAAGGTGAAACCTCGGCTAGTGAATTATATTTGACGAAATGGTTGACGCCCAAAATTTCGTAACTTAACAAATATATTTGAACCGTATCGTAGGTTTAATCGTTAAATCGTAACCAGCTCGGTGTTCAGCAGTCTGTGGCGAGACGTCCAGCAGATGCGGGTAATTCTGTGGTAACTGAAGCCCACTTGGACCACACACTCCCTGCATGTCATACTGGCGAACTTGTATTCTAATTTTAGATTTTTGTTTTATTTCTCTTCCTGTGGTACTACACATTAAGTGCGAATGTTGGAGATATTTTTAGGGTACATATTTGATAGTTATCATGATAGTCGTTATATTTTACCATTATTCTGGAAAAATGCAATACGAAAAATAACTCATTAGGCCTATAGTTTTTATATCGAAGGCTTTATGTGTCTAATAGATGACATTTAGTTTTTTTTTTCGCAGTCTTTAAGTTATAAATAATGTGTAAATTATAGTAACTATCTTTAAAACCTTGCATAAATCGGTTGATTAATTGTTGACAGTTATTTCTATGACGACTTTTTGTCTTGTCATAAATCAAGCACTGCGCTAACAAACAAATAACTTACGTGTAATGCAAAGTGTAGTAGAAAATGGGCTTATGAAGAATGCGTTTTTAAATGTATCAAGACAAAATTTATGACGGTACCTGGAAGTATTCTTTAGTTGATAAACTTTAACTTGGCCTTGTATGCGTAGCAAAACGTTAAACAAATCTACAACTTATAGATCAAACGACAGGTTCATAGTTGCAGATAATTTTTACACATGTAATTTTTTTATATTATCAAATTTTTATACTATAAATACTATCAAAGCTGCAAA